GGGGAGGTCTAAAGCAGCTTGTACTTTGGCGGGGTTTGCATCAATCCCCCTCTTGCTGACCATGAAGCCGAGGAACTTGCCTGACTTCACGCCGAAGACACATTTCTTCGGATTCAGCTTCATTTTGTATTTTCTGAGGGTGGCGAAGGTTTCGGCTAGGTCCGTGACATGATCTTTTTCTTTTATGCTTTTGACGATTGAGTCGTCAACATAAACCTCCATGTTTCGGCCTTTTTGCTCGGCGAAAACCTGATCAACCAACCTCTGATATGTTGCCCCCGCGTTTTTCAATCCGAAGGGCATCATTCTGTAATTGTACAACCCGGAACTTGTTATGAACGCTGTTTTAGCTCGGTCCTCGGGGTGCATGAAGATCTGATGGTATCCCGAGAATGCGTCCATGAAACTGAGCAGAGCATGCCCGCTTGTCGAGTCGACCAGTTGGTCGATCCTCGGCAGCGGATAGGAGTCCTTGGGACATGCCCTATTCAGGTCCGTGAAGTCAACGCACATCCTCCAGTTACCATTTGCCTTCTGAACCATTACAACATTGGCCAGCCACTCCGGATACTGACAGGGTTCAATGAACCCAGCATCTAGGAGCTTATCGACCTCAGCTGCGATGTTCTGGTTCTTTTCGGCGGAGTAGTTCCGCTTTTTCTGCTTAATGGGTCGACTGGAGGGGTCGACATTAAGCCTATGGGAGACGAAGTCCGGATCAATCCCGGGCATTTCTGCGGCTGAGAAGGCGAACATGTCTCCACTGGCCCGTAGGAGTTGGACGAGTGCCGCACGGGTGTTTGGCTCCAGTGACGACCCGATGCTAACACATCTGTTCGGATCTCCTACGGTCAGTTCTATTGACTAGGTCAGGTCATCCGTCTCCATGCTCTTAGAGTTGGATTCCTCGAATTCCGGCCTGCTATCAATATTAGCAGACTTTCCTGACCGCGGCTGGCCATCAGAGTCGTTCGGCTCTGAGGCGGAGTCAGCCTTTTGGCCCCCATCAGATTTCTCGTTGTCTGGGGCTTCATTAGCCGAAACGTCTGAGCCTCTCGGCTTTTTGGCGTTTCGGTCCCGGTGCTTTTCCTCCCCATCGCCACGGTCGCCTCGGCGAGACGTGGATGGCTTGAGGTGATTGCATCGGCGGGCTTCTTTTTGACTGCCCTTTATTTTCTCGGAGCGTCCCTCGTCTGAAACGTATATCATGATTTGATGATACGTGGAGACGACTCCTTGAATGCCGTGAATGAGGGGTCTCCCCATGATCACGTTGTATGCAGATGGAGCATCTACGACCAAAAATTCGGCCATGATATTCCTAGCTGCTCGGCCTTCGCCGATGGTGACAGGAAGTGTAATCTTCCCGTCAGGATACGATGAAGAGCCGTTGAATCCAGACACCGGGTAGGGTGCGGGGTCCAGGTGCTCGGCTCCCATCCTCAGCTGGTCGAACGCTCCTCGGAAGAGGATGTTCGCCCCGCTACCGCCGTCGACGAGGGTCCGCCAGACGTTGCGGTTGGCGATGCCCAGAATGATTACTAGTGGGTCATCGTGGGGGTATACCACCCCCTCACAGTCTTCGGCTGTGAACAGGATGTTCGGCGCCGGTGACTGGGACTGCCGAAGCTCAGCCTGATGAATCTGATGGGTTAGACCCCTCAGTTGGCGTTTGGCTGTGCCTCGCGAGATTCCCCCGGAAATAACTAGGATGTCGAGGGACTCCTTGCCCTGAGGTCCCTTATCCTTCTTCCGAGCGAAGTTGAGGTCCTGCCGAGAATCTTTTTCAGCTTTTTTCTCCTCGCGCCTGTCCGCGAGGTATTGGCTCAGGTACCCCTTGCGGACCAGATCCTCAATCTGGTCCTTCAGCTGGACGCAGTCCTCGGTGCGATGTCCGGGTGAGTCATGGAACTCGCACCACTGGTCCTTTCCCTTCGTCTGATGCCAGGGAGGCAACGGACGAGGTTTTTTGAATCTCCCCTCGTCCTTCGTCGTGCTGAAAATCTTAGCACGGGGAAGGGAGAGTGGAGTGTATGAATCGTACCTTCCCGTGTAGGGAAAGTGTCTTTCCTTCTTCGGCTCGGCAGCAGAGGACGGTTCTGAGGCCTTAGCCTTCCCTTTCCTCTGCGCCGAGACTTCGGGCTGCTGCCCTTTCGGCTTCTCAATTCTCGGACGAGACTGAGACCTGGATCTGTTCCACTCCTCGGCTCGGATGAACCTATCCGATGCTTCCAAGGCTTCCTCCAGGGTCTGCGGGGGATGCATGACCATGAAGTCCAGGAACTTTCCAGCTTGGAGGCCGTTCCGTAGCGCGAACACGGCCAGGCCTTGATCCAGGCTTGTGATTCCGGATGACTCGTTGCTGAAGCGAGTCAGATAGTCGCGGAGGCTCTCGTCCTCCGCCTGCTGCAGACTCATTAGCTCTGCAGTGGTCTTCTCTCGGCGGTTGGCCGTAGAGAATTTGCTCTTGAACTTGTTGGAGAGGTCGTTCCAACCGGTTATGGAGCCTTCCTTGAGCCCTTTGGTGATCCAGGATTGGGCAACACCTTTGAGGGTCGTAGGAAAGTATTTACACCAGGTAGCCTCAGACCTCGGGTTCAGATACATGTGCCCCTCGTAAGAGGCAATGTGATCCTTAGGATCTGAGGTACCATCGTAAGTAATATGTGCCGGGATTTTGACCGTTGGCACATGCTCTTCCAGAATCCACTTCTGGAAGGGCGAGTTCGATGGAACCATGACCGCCTTCCCCTTGTACCCGGCCTCAGGGACCTCGCTCCCTCCTCTCTCAGAGGTGGAAGTGGTTTTCGTCCCCGGCTGAGACAAGGTTGGGTGGGGTCCGGTATCCTCTGGGAAGGTGAGGCGGCTATGCACACTCACCTCCCTCGAACCCAAGCGTTCGTGAACGCTTTGGCGGGCGAATTCCGGGTCCTTGGAGGGCCCCATGGAATTCTGAGCTTCAGAGTGGTCAGAGGGTTGAGGGTTCCTCCTCCTCTCCTTACTGGAGTTTCGGGTGTCCCCTCGCCACCTCTGGCCGAGCTGTCTATGTGGTGGAACTTGTCCACCATCATCCTGACCGATCCTCCTTTTCAGGTTTCTCGGCTGATGATCATCAGGCATCCGGATTGGAGCCCCTTGAGCTTTAAGGAACTCCATGCAGATGGCCACTGCTCTGGCCACTTCCTCGGTGGAGGGTCCGGAGGGAGGAGTCTCCCGCGGATGTGACCTGGATTGCACGCTATGGCGCGGCGGGGAGTTCCTCGCACCTGAGCCACTCGGTCTCGGGGATGGCCCCGGCTGCCGAGTGTGGTGCGAGGTGTTCTCCTCCTGGAGGCTAGGACCTCTTGAGGCTTCCCTTTCCGGAGAAATGGGGGCCTCCGATTCGGAAGAGGCTTGCTCCGGGGAGGGATAAACCGGCTGGCGTTCCCTCACCGTAATCCGGCCTCCTCCCTTCTTAGCCTTCTTGGAACTCTTTCCACTCTTAGTCATGGCGACTGCCGGAGTGTTTGATGACTGACGCGAAATTTAGTAGCGTTCCCCACAGACGGCGCCAAATTGTTTCGGATGAAAACAATCGAATCTCGGAAGATCCTTTTATCTTGAGGGAACTTGGTCTCGGTCCGAACGACGCAGGAGCCGAGGGTTTCCTGCACAACAAATACACGTAAACTAGCCTCGGGGGGGACGCCGAGGAAGGCCCCTCCGATGCTTAAGTCAGTATATTAGAGAGAGAAAGCTGTGCAAGAGTTTAGTTGCTTGAGGCTTTATTGTCTTACCAAGGATTGACCAAATTGTTGGCTTTTATACCTTGGCTAATGAAGGAGGCGGATTGGGCCCGGAAGTCAGTTGGGCTGGGCCAAGCTGATTGGGCCGTTGACTGACCTTGACATGGCTTTGAGGATGTTGATTTTTGACTTTAGCATATTTGGAGAGTTGAACCTTAACCTTGGGCTTTTAATTGGATCATTCAGTGACCAGGCCCAATTGGACTAAATTGGACCCAAACAACCTTTATACTATCGAACCTAAAAATCAAACTGAGTATTGCATAGGCCATAAGTTCGGCCTAAGCACTAAATCCTGACGATTTATCTATTAACAAGTATAAATTTCTGATTGGTACGTGATTCTTGACATTTTTTTCAGCTTAGATTAATTAGTAGTTGCTGAAAGTGGAAGTATGTAGCTTAGAGGTTTGCCTTAATTAGTATATAACCACTACTCACAACATTAATTAGTACAGGTCCTACTTAATTCTAGTTGATAAGAAGCATACCACATACTAATAATAATACCTTTAAATTGTCTAATCCTAGTACGTACGGTAGCTAATTTGTAAACTTCTACTCTGTTTTTTACATGAGGACTTTTCTATCCATTACATCAGGAATCTCGTCAATTTAGCTTATTTAGTGTGTATTGGAGCGCCTTTTGAGCCATTATTATTATTGCAAATCTTCTCATATGTATACCTTTTTTTTTTTTTTTTTTTTTTTAAGACGTAACTTTGATCATTAATATCTTTAATTGTCTATTTCTAAAAATTGTACAAAATTATATAATGAAAGTAATATAGTGACAAATCTAATAATATATATAATAACATTTATTTATTTTATAATAGCAAAAAATTTAAGTCAAACATGACATGTGAATAATGCAAAAGTTAAACTGATACATATAAGAAAAAAAAAAACCGAACGTAGTATATAATTCACCTTTTCCCTGTAATTTTCTACGGCGTAATATGCATTGGATCAAAACCTTTGTCCTATTCTACATGCAATTGCGTAATCTTGATTAGGAATTTAGGACATAGAATTGACAATAATACTAGTACTATTGACTAATACTTAAGATTCGCCCTCCTTTTTAGCTTTGATTATCTAATTATTAAACACTTGTATTATTTTCTCAAAAGGTGGGCTGTCACATTTTCTTGATTCCATTTAAATACTACATCAAAGTAAGCACATTTCTATTCAACTCAATATATACCTTCTACTTCCAAAACCCTAAACACCAACTAACCTAGCTAAGCCATGGCATATTGGTCTGATCTCCCTCCGGAGCTCCTCGATCTCGTTGCCACCGGCTTTGACACCCCGTCTGACACTCGTCACTTCCGTTCTGTCTGTTCCACGTGGCGGTCCGCCATCCCCAAAACACTACCCATATTTTTCCCTCCTATAAAATTCCTCAACTCTAATGTCCATCATTGTGACCTCCGACTCACCAAACACACATTTACCCATCTTTCTCCCTCTTTCGATGACCACGATGGCCGCGGGTGGCTCATCAAGACTGAAGAGCACAACCCGGGGGCGGTCCATTTGTTCAATCCTTTCTCTAGGACCCTCATCAAACAGTTAGCACCAAATCTTCCTAGGAAGTTGGATCTAACCAACATTAAAATCAAGGAGTTGGGTTATGAGTATGTGTTACGTAACGTTATTAGTAATCCTAGTACAGAAAACATGGATTACTACAACATGGAGCATCAAAAGGTAGCTGTTACCTTCCTTAATTCTAATAATGTTAACGATTACGTCATTTTGTGTACACATAACACGGGTAAGTTACTCATGTACCGGTCCAAAATTGAATCATGGACGTTTTTGGATGATTACACTTTAGGTTATGATGATCGGAGCATATTTGTTAACGATTGGTCGTTGCACTACGTGGATGTAGTAGAGTTCGATGGTACATTTTATGCTGTTACCAACTCCGGTAGAACTGTAGCCATTAAGGTTATTGGTTCTTCCGTCATAGTAACATTGCTAAAAAATGCTATCATTGGCGGCGATAAAAAATGTCTAGTGAAAGTAGCTGATGATCTGTTAATGGTAGACTTGTATACTGATATCACTCCTAAATTGATAAAGGTACACGGTGTTGAGATTTTCAAACTCGATAAGGAGAAACAAAAGTGGGATTTGGTTAAGGATTTAGAGGGGCATGCAATTTTTTTGAGCAACCATTCTTCATTTTCCGCTATTGGTTTAAAAGTTTGCAAAGGTAATTGCATATACTTTCATTTTAAGAACTTAGACAATAAGGATTCATGTTATTTGGAGATTAAAGTGGGAGATTTGGATAAAATGGATGATTTTGAGTGGAAGAGTGATGAAGTTGGTGTTTTTGATTTTGAAAAAGGAATTTTTGGGGCGTTGGAAGAATATTTGGAAGATTCTAAGCTATTTTCTTGGCCTCCACCAAGTTGGGTTACATTGGCTCGTATGACATGAAGTCTTCAATCTTCGTTCTTTGATTACTTTAATTCCTTTTAGAGTTTCTTATATAAATATATTACTTCTTCCGATCTTGATAAATAATGTAGATCGACTTTCATAATTCTAGATTTTTCATTTTTTTACCCTTTGATTGTAGAATTTTTTAAAATCCTTTCTTCTTTGATTATTAATAAAAGATTGCATGCCTCGACTAATAATATATACTTTTACTAGTTCTTTACCCGAGCATGTTCGGATGTGTATTTACAAGAAAAAAAAAAAATTATGGGACAAACGGTGTATTAAATCAATCCGTTCATCCGTTGGTAGATTTACAAAAATGTAACTCTGTATTACTCTGAGCAAATAATAGTCAAGTCCGACTATTAATGATCGGTCAATGGTTCTTTAACTATTTTTTTTTCCAGGCCATTTATCATTCATGATCTTTATGCATGCATGTGTAATAAACGTTATTAGAAATTCTTGTAAATAAAAGCAGACTTGGAGCCACTTTTGACTATAGTACTTGCTGGAAAATAAGTTAATGAAAAATATGTATTATAAGGTCAAAATGCATGAACTTTAATTTAATTTGAAGAAAAAAAAAATCAAAGTGAGATCATCGTTTATGGACTGTCAACTATGATAATACGCTGTAAACATTAAGAAATGAAATGATAATAATATCTAGCCACAATTATTATTTCAACTTATGCTAATGAGATCTTCGACAAGTTGGGCTATTGGAAATTAAAACATTGAGGGCATGCATACGATGAGTCACAAGTACAAAACTTATTCAACAAAATATTGGATTGAGTAACAAACAACAATATAATATAATATAATATAAGCAGCCCATGTAATACATGCATGAATCAACAATACAATGGTATGGTATGGCATGATAACTAATGAATGGGCGAGTAATTTGGGTATAATTGATAACTCAATTCTGATATCTTTAATAGAAACCTGAGATGTCAAGTTGATGATTGAAACCATTATCTTTTGCAACTTTTCAATATCAATGCAACATATATAGTTCTGAAATACTCACATAATTGAGTCAAACTCATTCTCGATGCTATATAAACAGATTAGTAGGCTTGTTATGGTTCCGAACCAACTTATATAACTTCAGAGAACTCCCCACAAATTCACTCTAATTGTAGGAAAAAATTTCCAAAATTGGTCTAAAAAGGTTAAATTTAGCCTTTAGTTTTAGACAATTTTTGACTGTTTTGAACTTGAAAAGGAAAGAGGTTGAGGCGCTTCTCATGGATCCCATAACGTCATGGGAGGCCATTTTTGTGGTTGGAATCAACCACTTTGTCTTTAAACTTTCAAATTAGCTATTTATTATATGGTTCTCTTCATTAACCTAAGGTCACCATAAGCTTTTATGTGATTGACTAGCTATCTAGCTGGGTCATATATGGTTTCAAACATCATTAATAATATACTATCCTTTAGTTTTTTACACCGCTGTTGAAATTTATTTTTAAATTAAATTCGATTTTGTGTATTAATCGTTATAATTGGCTTGTGGAGAACATTTTTTTAACCCGACAAGATTATACATTTCTTTCGGGTTTTGTCAAAGGGTCCCGGAAGGCCTGCTTGGTGCTCGAAACCATGTCATAATTCATGTTTGGCCTACCCTTCTTTATCATGTCTTATATGTATTGCCTTGGCTTGGTCTTGTTACATTACCTTGGCTTGTCCTAGCGCTGCCTTGCCTAGCTTACTCTAAGAAGTACGTACTATTGATTAGCAATACCTCATTATTATTGTTTTGGTTAAATGGACGGATTGAAGAGAGTACAATTATTTTTCAAATTATAAATGATATAAAAGTAGATTATGACATGAATTGAACAAATCCTCTTCTAAGTCAATGGCGGAGAGAGGCCGGAAGTAAAAAGTCACGAGTATATATAAAAATAATTTTTGTTTATATTAGTACTTTGTACTTCTTTGAAACCATTATTCAAGGTGATTAAAAGGTGTTCAATATTAAATAATTTTTCTAAGTCAATATGACTAAACATTGTTAAACAAGTTTTTAATAATATGACGTAGTACATAATCCCATCAAATTTGTACCGATTGAACTTTGGACTTCATGGAACTTTATAACGTACTAAAGTATACAAAATATAGATTCATGACATGTCGACAAGAAGTCCAAGTGATAGATAACGTTAGAAAAACTAATCCGTCTAAATTGGACGAATATATATATACATCACTAAGCATGCAGTAGATCTAGCTGTGGGATCTTGACTGACATTATTTTCTAATCTCGACTATGTTTATTGGATTATTCTAACTTTGATTTCATAAATATGCCCAATTTTTGTTTACTTTTACTTTTATTCGCAACGCATACTTAGTATTTAAATATTGTGATACATTGATGAACTGTTTTCTTCAATTAGACAAGTACAATTTACAAGCTTGATCAGTTTGCAATGTTGCCTTAAACAACCACACAAAGTTAGAAATTTGATGATTTTGTTAATTAACGGGCTATTATTGATAAATCTACAGGTTGTTTAATGTTGACATGAATGATTCATTGATATTGATGAAGACACATCAATTAAAATCATTGTTTGAATCTTAGGTCAGCCATGGTTGGCCGATGAGTCCAAGCAAACGGCTAGTTATTAGTTTTTCATCTAATAATGTTAAGAAAATAAGCCACATATGTGAGTTAGGACTAATTATTCCATATAAAAAGAAAGGAAAAAAAAAAACCCGGAGAACCCCTTCTATAACCAATTGACTCGAAAATGGTTATGTTTAATCTCTTTGACTTAAGATATGCATTTTGAATGTACCTGTCAAAAATAAAGAAAGCATTGTGAACAAAATTTTCAACATGTTGTGGGCCGGCCCGGGCCGGCCCAAACAACTAATTTTTTTTAACCATCAGGTGAGACCCATATTAGGTTTATATTCGAAATTCCAGATGGCCCAAAGTTGGAGTAAGCAATAAAAGACGCTAGGGCCCAACTCTTATTTAAATTACAGTATTAAATTAATAGTAAAACTATCAAAAAGGGTAAATCTTAGTGGGATTAATCAAACAAAACTTATATTCCTCATTTTCTCGTTCCATACTGATTTATTGTGAGACCTGCTCACATCGGGCATCATTAGACGAGTAAATCAAATGAAGCACATATAACAACCTGAGATGGAAATCTATTCATTGCATTCCATGATCAATACAAATATAATTTGATTTATATTTTCTAAAGAGGTTACACCTCAAAATCATATGGCAATGAGGGGAATAATCCTTTAGCCTTAAGATGGATACAGCTTTCTCTTTTCTTCAATGTGAGATATATATCCCAATATTTCTCTTCACTTTTACACTCTTTTAATGTGGGACAACACTTTCACTTACATGTGGGCTTGTTCATGGGTTCAACAAATGATCATTCGAGTAATTTATTAATATTTTTTCTTGATCATTTATCGGGGAAAAGTCATAACATTAATAGCATGGACATTTTCGATGGCCTTTTTAGCAGTTATTGTGATCCATATCCTACAATAACAATTGCATCATAAAATAGATGAGACTAAGCTAGCAATTAAGGAGCAAGTAGCAAGCAACAAGGTTTAGCTTGCTACTTTTGGGAGAAGGAACTAGTTCAGCTTATGATAAATGGGTGATGTACCGCACCTTCTTTATATTTTCTCTAACACCTCACCATAATTCACAGGCCTATTAATTGCCATACAAAATCAGCAGATCAATTTTGACTCAATCGTAGGTGGTTCAAATAGGGCCTAATTACATATTCATTGTGGTTTAATTTAAAGGTTAAGTATTTTACTACTTGTTTTCCATGATTTTGAAGCAAATCCTTAATTAACTATCTGATTATACTTATCTATATATAATCTTTTTATTGAAAAAAAATAATAAAAAAAATCTTACAAGAATTCACATATGGTTTGATAATTGATATGAGTTATTGCATTTACAATTTTACATCAGTACTCCTTATTGTAATATTGTTGCATTAGTCTTGATTGATATATTATACTAGTTTTGTGACCTGGGCAATGCCCAGGTTGTTTATTGAATTTTAGGATAAACCTTTTGGCTTGAATGTCCAATACGACTATATAATCACTTTTGATGATGCAGGATATTTAGACATGCGATATCATACTTAAATTATTTTTATTAAACTGAAAGTATTTTTACCGATTAAAACTTATTTTTACTAATTCTCTATTATTTTAAATATATCATAAATGAATTATATTTTAAAGAACTTTTTAAAACGAATTTTATGATGAAAACAGAACCGAGTTATTGGGTTTTTATTAAAAGTTATGATTAATTTTGTATATATGAAATATTAGAAATATATCGATAATAAACTCTATACAACAATTTTATCTTAAAAAATCTATCAAAAATTCGCTTACTTAGCATCATATGTGTAGTCACGATAATATATAACTAGTTTTCGCCTACGTGGCTCGACACTTGGTGAATAATTGAAATGCCAAGTGTCGTTGTCTTGTGGCCTGGCTGCAAGACCGGCTTTATTTATTAGGGATATGATAGGAAAATTTGGTAAAAATAATCTCAACTTTGCTCGTTCGCTCGAAATAATCCCAACTTTGGATTATTTTTTAATAATCCGAACTTTGGGCATTTACTCAAAATAGTCCCATGTTATCAGTAACCTGTTAAAGAGGTAATTTTTTTTTTAAGTTTAAATGACATGTGTCACCACGTTATTGGTTGAAAATAATAATAATAAAAAAAACTAAAAACGGAAAGACTGCCCTAAACCCACGACAACCCCCACCACCACCCCGGTTTTCCGGCAGCCCACTCCCACCGCCCAGCCCAGTTAACCCCCTGTCCCTAACCGCCACGGCCAAACCCCCTTCCCCTCACCGGCGTTGCCATTCCCCTACCCCAAAATTACCAAACCCCCACCACAAAACCACCATACCCACACCCATAAACCCGTAAGAAAACCCTCGCCCATTGCAAAAATCCTCAACAAGCTTTCCCCACCCCCGGGACCCTAGCAACTAGGGGTTTCGAGGGTGGGGGAGGGCCGATTAGAGGGTTTGGGCGGGGGGAGGGTGTTTTTAGGGATTTTCGGTGGGGTTTGGTGGTTTTGGGGGAAGGGGAGGCGACAAGGGGAAGGGGGAGGCGCTGACGCAGGGGAGGGGCTCCTGGCCGCGGCAGAGGGTGGGGATGGGATGGGAGCTCCGGAAAAGGGTTGTGGGTGGTGGTGGGGAGGGTGGTTCAAGGGCGGCTGATTTGTTTTTTTTTTATTATTTCTCAACTAATCGCGTGGTGACACCTGTCACCTTAACCTGTTATAACAGGTTGGTGAGCGGTTGAGACTATTTTGAGCGAGTGACCCCTAAAGTTCGAATTATTTAAAAAATAATTCAAAGTTGGAATTATTTTGAGCGATGGGCAAAAGTTGAGATTATTTTACCAATTTTTCCTATTAAAAATGCCACCTCTTTTTTTATAATATTTTTAATAAACAGTTATATAAAGAATGAATCGTTAAACTTAAATGTGTTCAAATAAATCGAAAGAAACAATTAAGGCCAAGTATTATGGGATGAATAGCTTAGTACCATGCATACTAACATACTTGATCATTTCTCTTTTAAAAGTCAATCACTACACAAATACGTACAAAACGATGAAAAATCTCCCATAATCTAGTATCAACAAATTATTCAAGTAACCAATTAATTTCTACATTACAATTTACAAGTGGCCTGTTATATTGGATAACATACAGCCAGTAAATTAAAACAACTTGCTTTATCACTACCGCAAGCAATCGTCAAGGTATGTGCCTATGCGGCTACGTATTATCTATCAACCAACTCTTATATTATTGGTTACATTCGTAATTATATTATTTTTTTTTTATTATTTTTCCCATGCAATTTTTCTCCTATATATACCTCTTTTGGTTGTTCTATATTTCATATCTTATTTTGTGATAAGCAAAATTGCAATATAAAATAAATCAGAGTGAAAATGAAGAGTTTGATGAATAGTGTCACTCTTTGTTGCCTCTATTTCTCATTTTCTCTTCTCTTTAACTTTGTTGCTCCTACCTTATTGTTTCAGGTATATATCTAGCTTATGCATGATTTCCTTAAGTTAATAAAGTTTTTCAAAGAAAAAAAAAATTATATTATAGATATAAAACAAGTATTAGAGTATAATGTACAAATAAAGTTTTTCTATATTAATGAAACATTGCATAAAAAATATTATTGATCAATGAAATAAGTTGTAAAATCTACTAATATAATGTATAGGTTTTCCTATCCTTTTTCCTTTTGTTACATAAACGAGTGTAATTTATATTAGCAAAATGCGTTTTTGACTTGCATGGTCATAATAATAACCTATGATGACATGAGTAAATCAAATACTAATTGAATTGTGGTAGTCTTCTTTGCTAAATTAAGTTTCTTGATTAAACGTACAAATACTACGTGGTTGGCTAACTAGTTTTGTTATTCATCAATGTGGTTAGGGTTTCAATTGGGATTCATGCAATAAGCCAGGAGGGCTGTATAATTACCTCAAAAACTCGATCGATGACTTGGCTAGAGCAGGGGTCACCCATGTCTGGCTTCCTCCTCCATCTCACTCAGTTTCTCCTCAAGGTATACAAGTAGATCATGTTTTGCAATATAATTTTTTTTTATCCTTACGTGGAATTAAATTTTATTAAAAATGCAAATATCAAAGTTCCACACAAAATTTGATTTAGGGTTGAACATACCATTGTGCATGTAACACCGTTTCCACGCTCTAAAGCCATCATTTTCCTTCAAAACTAATTAAGCTAACCATTATCAATAATATTCGTAAAATTTTTAATTCAACTTCCATACAATACTTTAATTTTCGAATGCCATGCTTATCAAAAGAATTGATGCTATTAGAACGTGCAGTGTTGTAACAATATTTCTAAAGTATACGAACATAAATTAATTATCTTATATGGGCATACTACAATACCTCTTAAAAAAAAACGATCGATTTTTATCGTAATTAATAGTAATCCATTCTTAGTTTTCACACTTTCTTAGAGTACAGTCACATTCATTGTTGCACAATTAATTGTACTAGACTGTAGACCCTTGCACAACATAATCAAGTGATTAACGTTTCGTGCTTAATTAGTGCTTCAAAGTACGAAACTATAATCTAATTACTTGTTCAATCCCATCATATGTTTTATATTTTTATGATTAATTGATTTTCAGGATATTTGCCTGGAAGATTATATGATATTGACGCATCCAAATACGGCAAAGAGGCAGAGTTGAAGAGCTTGGTTAGTGCATTCCACCAAAAAGGAATCAAGTGTGTTGCTGATATTGTCATAAACCATAGGTGCGCAGATAAACAAGATGGAAGAGGAATATACTGCATTTTCGAGGGTGGAACGTCTGATGATCGCCTCGATTGGGGTCCTTGGGCTATCTGTAGGGATGACACTCAATTCTCCGATGGTAGCGGGAATTTAGACACCGGTGCTGGCTATGGTGCTGCCCCTGACATAGACCATCTTAACCCAAGAGTACAAAAAGAGTTGGTAGATTGGATGAATTGGCTTAAGGCCGAAATCGGTTTTGATGGTTGGAGATTTGACTTTGTTAAGGGTTATGCACCTAGCATAACCAAAATTTACATGGAAAAGACTACACCAGATTTTGCTGTTGGAGAGTTGTGGGATTCAATCAACTATGATCCAGATGGTAAGCCAGACTACAACCAAGACGGGCCGAGAAATGAGCTAGCAGGGTGGGTTCAAGCTGCTGGTGGTGGTGTTGTTTCTGCATTTGATTTTACTACCAAAGGTGTTCTTGGTGCTGCTGTTCAAGGAGAATGGTGGAGAATGAAAGATTCTAGTGGTAGGCCTAGTGGATTAATTGGTATTATGCCTAAAAATGCTGTTACTTTCATTGATAATCATGACACCGGATCTAGCCAAAAGTTATGGCCTTTCCCTGCAGACAAAGTCATGCAAGGATATGCCTATATTTTGACACACCCGGGAATTCCATCCATCGTAAGTACTTTTATGTGTTTTTGCTTAAAGATATATACCATGTATGTCTATTATACATTAAGGTGTACCTGTACTTTTTTTTTTTTTTTTAAATGAGATCTTTTGTTTTGCAGTTTTATGACCATTTCATCGAGTGGGGTTTGAAGGAAGAGATTATAAAGCTGACTTTGATTAGGGAAAGGAACGCGATAAGTGAGACAAGCAGTGTGAATATAATGGCCTCGGATGCAGACTTATATGTAGCAATGATCGATGGAAAGATTATTGTTAAGACTGGAACAAGATTCGATCTTGGCAATCTTATTCCGGCGAACTTTAAAGTTTCCACATATGGAAAAGACTATTGTGTTTGGGAGAAGCAATAATCCTAATAACTAAACATGCATATGTTCAATGCATATACAATTAAGAAATACACAATATAGCTATTAAAGAATAATTTCAAGAAATTTGTACCATGGTTTATTCCAAATCATGATGAATTAGTGACTTACCAATTGTTTCTCATTTGAAGGTTATGCTTAGCTTAGCCTCCTCATTATTGTTATATTGTATGACCTATGATGTCATGTTTGATTTTTACTAAGAAAAATAATACCAGTCATAAATGGCCTTTATTATCAGATCAGTGTCTCAAATTGTTTTGTTTGCTACTTTTGTTGACTGCTAACCAAGGTATGAATTTGTTGTTACATACACCATACATATATGCAACCAGTCCATTAATTACTCCAAAGGCTTTAAATTGCTCAATCCAATTTTGTAAGTTTGATTGATTGAGCAAATCTGAGTGGTCAGCCACTGCTATAATTTCCGGAACTAGAAGTAACTTTCTCTATTTGTGATCGAATTATAAGCTTTCGAATGCATTAATTTGAAGATTAGTTATTCATTTATACTAATGTTAATTTTTCAAAAATACATGTTTAGATTAACTTAACAACAATTAATTTGGTGTGATATTTTTTACAAAATATTAATGTCAAAATGTTACATATGTATATGCATTGTTCTGATGTAATGTCTAGATCTAGTTAAATTTGACCAGATTTTACAGTAATGTATATTCTAAAATATACACTTCGTGTATATTATCAATTTATCATGATAACTTTGATTAAATTCGTCTAAAAGTGTATTTTCCAAAACTTAATTATAGCATTCCTAAATTCCTAGCAAATTGCAGAGAAAGCGTCGTGGGTTGAACTGGTGTCGTCGTTGCAACCAACATTGCATAGACTAGCTTAGCTTCGGTTAGTTATAGAGGTGATCATTGGGCGGGTCGGAGCTAAAAAAATTTGCCCACTTCTCGGGCCGGGCCAGGCCAAGCTTCGGGTCGGATTTTTTGTGCCCAAACCCGCCCAAAATGGTCGGGCCACGCGGGATTTTCCGACCGGGCCTAAAAAATTAACTAAATATGCATAAAAACGCATTCCCAAACCCGTCCAAAAAAAAATTGGGCCGGGCCATACTTGATCAGGTCTAGTTAGTTAGCAGTTTGCAGTACTATAAAACCAATAATAAATTCATCATAACACTGGCAAACTATGCAGCAGTACAACTAGCTAGGGTTTACAACTTCAAGGAAATTCATACATACAATTCCCTTTCGAGAAGGAAAATAATTAATGCATACAAAATGGCTACATTATTGTTATATTTTTTTCTTTTAAACTACCACGTAATTTATATGATCATTAATAGCCATGCAAAATCTGCTGACTCGTGCATGCATGCACGGATAATGAAACTTGAATGACAAACAATTCAACAGACTATATTCCAGAATTTAGCGGTTAACTGGTGGACCTTGACCTAAGCTAATGCCTATCTCAAAAGATTATTATTATTATTATTATTATTATTATTATTATTATTATTATTATTATTATTATGTGAGGATTTTATTATTAACTCAAAAGATTTACATAAAATTAGTGGACAGTCCAGATTCAATCTGGGCTCCCACTCATTTAGCTATAGCGAAATTTATCCTAATAAAAATTTGGGTTGTTGCTCGAACTCCAAAATCCTAGTCCCCGGAGAACTTCTGTATCCATTTTGTTTCGGGGTTTTCTGATGTCCTGCGGGAGAGTTACAATTCCGAGACTGGAACCGGACGCCTGTACCTGCAAAATAACGGAGACTCCTGAGAGCTCCGCCTCCAACGGTCAAGTTAGTACCTGATTAAGGAGTAATTAATACAGAAATTAAAGTAATAAGGTCTCTCTAGGTGAGAGTATTTAATGTAGGTAATCTGCTTTGCTAGCGAGATCAGCCGGTTATTAGTGTGTTCCGTAATGTATTCGGTCCCTGATTAATGAGGATTAATCGAGTATTTATAGCCTTGGGAAGCGTGCAACTCTCTAGGTTTAAGGTAAACCTAGGGCCGATCGGGCTTCTAGACTGAAATGGGCCTTGATGGCCGGTTGTCCCATTTGGCATGGGTGGACACGTGGCGTGTCTTAAGTGGTCCATGGAGGACGCGTGGCGGAACCTGGTTGGCCCACTTGTCAAACGGAGCTTGGTGGATAAAAATCCCCTAATCATTTGCCCCTCACAGGTGGCACGCGACTGGTCACGTGTCGCCTGTGACAGGCGTCGCACGGTGACAGGCGACGGCCCGTTACAGGTGTCACCTTGCAGACGGCCGGGAGATTCTCCCGCCCAAATTTGAATTCGGAAGCGACCCTTCGCCTTCTCATTTTGCCTATAAAAGGAAGTGCTGACTTTGGTCATTTTCACATTTGAGAATTTTTGCGAGAACATTCGGACCCCTGAACTTGCTCTGACATTTTCGGACTTTTTCTGCCTACCGCCTGTTCTGACAAGCCGACTGACCCGAACTTTCAGGACTTCATCAACTGTCATCCATTCAGGTAACTCAGTTCTCTTACTCTTAATTTTCTTTTTATTTTTTGAAATGGCACCATGGAAGCACACGACACGCCCTAAGTTAGTGATCAGCCGGTCACCGGGGACGGCTGAATCTAGGACTAGGAGTGCCGCCTGCCCTTTTCTGGACCCATCTTTGCCCTTTATACAAAGTCCGACTGAATCTGTGTCTATGCAGAACGTGATGGCCAGAACAAAAAAGACTGCTAGAATATCAAACTCAGACGGCTCCTCCCAAAGGGTACTCCTTAGCGAAACATCTGACCAGGCGCCAGATGTGGAACGAGGCGACTGTCAAGCTGACAGTTCTGAGAGAGGGACCAAGGTGTTCCCTTCTCATCTAACCGTGGACATGTCCAATTTACCTTCTGCTCCTTCTAAGGGAGAGGAGGCGGGCCCCTCTAGGAGAGGGGAGGAGTCGTCCTCTTCGGACTCGTCAGGGGACGAGTCCGATTCCAGCTCTTCTGCCCATAGTTCTTCTGACTCAGAAGAAAAACATAACCGCCTACAAGAGGCGAGAAGTTCCCATGCAGTGGAGAAGGGGGATAATTGGGCAGAGCCGTCCGTCTCTTACAGAGAGGAAAACACCCCCTACTACTGCAGGGTGCCCCGGGGCCGGATCGCAACCATGCGAGACAACGTGGCGAGCTTTATTGCTAACCACAAAATGAGCCCGGAGTATTTACTGTTTGTGCCGGATCCAGAAGATACTGTCGTCTGGCCGGCTGGTACCAGCTATGGTGACGGCTGTTTTGGCTGCTATGTGGCGGCCATCAAAGCTGGTCTGCGCTTCCCATTACATCCGGCTGTTCAGCGGATTTTAGATGGGTATGATCTGGGGTTATGGCAGTTAGCCCCCAACTCTTGGGTAAACGTACTCGGCTATGTGGCCGGGTGCGAACTGAACGGGGTGGAGCCAAGTTTTGAGGCTTTCGCCCACATGAACTATCTCAGCCGGACCCCTAAGTCGGGAGGTACCGGCTGGTATCAACTAACAAGCCACAGGGGTTACCTCATGACGAGAGGTAAGGCAAACAAATGGAAGGATTGGCGGAACACCTTCCTTATTATCGAGAGTTCAGACACGGAGCTGAACAAACGATTTAACAAGTGGAACAGGGATCCGCCTCTTCTTGCAGGCGGCCGCAGCATGCCGCCTGTTCCCCCAAAGGCTAAAAGAGAGATCCTAGACAAAGGACTCTTCAAAGTAGAGACTAGGGTGAACTCTACTTCAGGGGTACGAGAGCAAGTACCCCTACACTGCGTCCCGAGCTTCAAGTGGCTCTATGATGAGTACTTCTTGGCCGCCTGTGGCCTCGGCAGTCGGTGCTCTAGAGGTAGCCGGCCTGACGAATACTCTGTTTTTTCACGCCTTGTTTACTTGGGATTTTTACTAACTTTGCTGTTTATTTCTTTCAGCCGACGCCATGAGTAAAATAACAGCATCTAAAACTGCGGCGGCCATGCTGCGGGTTTCGCTAATGAAGCAGTCGTACGCCGACTCCCCCAGCAAGGAGGCACCCTTGGTAAGCTTTGAAAACTCTTCCCCTTTAAGTTGTATTATGCATATACTAACTCTTTTTGTTTTCAGTCTGGCACTCCAAGGGCTTCTTCCTCGCAACAGCCGGACCCCAAGGCCCGGAGGACGACTGTTGCAAGCTCTCCTGGGTCTTCCAGGAAAACAGTGGCGGCTGAGAAGCAGCCGGCCACTTCTTCAAAAACCCAAGCGGGGCCGCCTAGATGTATGGACCCTTGCTTGTAAAAACTCACTCTTGCTTCCTTCTTGATTAGGTCTTACTTGTTTTTCCTTTTGCTTAATGCAGCCGGCCCCCAGGGACTTGACTTGGTTGAGGTAGCCAAGTCAATGGTTAAAGTAGTTCCTCCCTCTGACAGGGAGGCGGTCAAGGGTGCCGGCACCCTTGACCTCGATGGAATTTCGGGGATCCTAGCTGAGGTATACCCTTTTGAAGTTCCAGGACGCCTGTTAACCCTTTTGATTGGAAATTGACGCCTGTTTTTCTTTGTACCTAGGCCCTGCTCCGAGTCAACAGCCTTCGCAAGCCGATTGATCGGAAAAACAAAGAGGTAAAGGCCGCAAAGGCTATGGCCGCCTCCAGCTGTGATAAAGCAATGTTTCAAATTGCCCAAAATGAAGTACTGACCATTGATCTTCTTTATTATCAGGCGCAGGCGACCGCCGCTGTTCGGGCTCAGCTAGAGGCGGCCCAAAAGAAGGTTGACGAGCTGGAGGGGACCGTCACCAAACTTAAAGCCGAGCTGAAACCTCTTCGCCAGAAAATGCACTCTTACGAAGCCATGGAGAAATCTTTGGCTAACGTAAAAGAACGCCTGGTGAACCAGGAGAAGAGTCTTACCCAAGAGCTCTCGGACAAAGCCGAGCAAGAAAAACAAGAGCTCGTCCGGGAGATGGTGGAAGACTCCGCCCAAATCCAACGCATGACCTGGGAACGACTGTTCCCCAGTGCCGACTTTGCCTCATGGGAAAGAACGTACCGCCAGTGTTCGGAAATATATAATCAACAGATCCTGGCGGCTGCTGAAGAAGAGGCGATGGACGTTGCGTTGGAGGAGGAAGAGCCTGTTGTGGCGCTTGTGCCACTTGGGGGAAAGGCATCAAAA